AAACACTGGGAAACCCTGGGAGATAATGGGATAGGCAAAGACTTCTTAAATAAGGCCCCCACAGCACAGTCGATAATCCCCAAAATAGATGAGTGGGATTACATCAGACTAAGAAGTTTCTGCATGGCAAAAGACACAGTAATTAGTGTGAATCGACAGCCCTCAGAATGGGAAAATATTTTTGTAAACTATACATCAGATAAGGGACTGATAACCAGGATTCACAAGGAACTCAAGCAGCTGTTCCATAAAAAGATGATCAATCCTATTAAAAGATGGGAGAATGAGTTGGAAAAAAAAAAAACTCTCTAAAGATGACATACAAATAGCTAAAAGGCATATGAAAAAATGCTCAACAGCCTTCTCTGGCGGGGAGGGGGTGTGGTGAAAGGGGAACTCTCTTACACTGCTGGTGGGAATGTAAACTGGTTCAGCCACTGTGGAGAACAATTTGGAGATTCCTCAAAAATCTACAAATAGAACTACCATATGATACAGCAATCCCACTCCTTGGTATTTACCCAAAGGACAAAATACTTAGTCAGAAAAGTACTTGCACATTGATGTTTATTGAGGCACTATTCACAATTGCTAAGCCATGGAAACAACCCAAATGTCCACGAACAGATGAATGGATAGAAAAACTGTGGCACATATACTCTATGGAATACTATTCAGACATAAAAAACAACAAAACCCTGGCTTTTGACAGGAAGTGGACAAATATGGAAGATTTACTGCTGAGTGAAGCAAGCCAGGCTATGAAGGAGAGGCATTGTATGTCCCCACTTAATATATACCGAGTGTCCGTACTCTATGACTGAAACGGATTGACTAAAGAATATAGAAACACAGTATATAGATATAAATACCAAATACAGTGTGTGTGAAAGAGGAGGGTCTGAGGAAGGATATTTAGAAGAAAAATAGGGAGGTAAAGCAATAATGGAACAAAGAAATGTATTATCTGTTGAAGATATTTTATAGTTTTATCAGCTGTACTAGGGAAAAATGTTCACCTGTTGAAATATCCATTTTGTAAGTCAAATAATTATGCGATTGAATAAATAAAAGAAAGTTAAAATAAATAAATAAATTAAATTAAAAAAAAAAGAAGGGGGTGGGGAGCCATGTCTGGCACTGTGGTTTATGACACTACCTTGGTTGTTGAGTGTAGGGGGACTAAAGCAGGAAGAGAGTGCGGGGTGGGGTGGTGGTGGTGGTCACAGAGGTCAATTGGAGAGTAGGTGCAAAATCTGCCCTAGATGTGGTGACAGGAGAAGTGGACATCAAAGATAAAACTATGATTCTGTGAGATGGGGTTGTTATCTCTGGGTCATGTATAATTAGGCTCCTCTCTATTCCTTCTACTCTAAAAGCCAAGAATTCTTTCAATAGCTCTGATTAAAAGCTGTTGGACTGCTTGAGTTCCCTGTATCTGCCAGTTATCAAACCTTTATCTATTGATGTATATTGTAATATCCATGATTTGGATATTACCACATCCATGCGTTGAAAAACTATTACATGCCATAAAGACTTATGACAACTAAATGTAACTGAGAAGAAAAAAAAGCCGTTGAGTCCTGCTGAGGCTCTCAGAAGGGAACTCTGACCTTCACTAGGGCTGAGATTTACCATGCTGACTGCTGCGGATTAGTTTCCTCAGCAGCAATAAAAAAACACTCAGCCCACCTGTGCCCTCACTTACCTGGCACCTCAATCAGAACCTCTGCTTGGGAGCCCAGCCTAGATGGTGCAGTTTGCAGTGTATGGGACTGCAGTGCTGGAAGCCACATAGCTGACTGTGGTTCAGATCCCCAGGCTACCCGGAAACAGGATGTACACACACATGGGCACCCAAGATCTACTACAGGACTAAGGAAAAGGGATTGTAGTGCAATGGGGTCCTATCAATGCTGCTTTCTCCCTCTCTCTTATGTGCACCCGCATGCTATTCTAACAAAATAAAATGAATTTTAAAAAGAACCTCTGGGTGGGCCCTGGACAGAGATAGGTTTTGAAGCTCCCCAAGTGGTTCTCCTGTGCAGCCAGGATTGAGTACAGAGAGACCAGGGCCCGTGCTTCATCTCAGGAGGTAGCACTGGACTAAAGCTCCATGCCTTAGCCTTATACCTTCAGTTCTCTTATTCCAGTCAGAACAAACAACCATCAAAATCCCTCAAATATTGGGAGGCATTCTTTTTCTTTTTTTTCTCTCCAGTTAAAGATATCATACATGTTATTATCAACAGATAGTTTTCCATTTCTGTGTCCCTTATATGTCTTATTTCTCTATTTTTCCTCCTTGATTCCCTTCCTTTTTCTTGGGAGGCATTCTTTAGTAGTTCACCCCAGCCATCATGACACTCATTGGTATCTACCCAATAATTGTCCCTTCTTTTTGCTGAACAGATCTTTAGTTCAGGTTGTAGCAGCGAAATGCTCAGAGAAAGTGATCTCTTCCCTGAAAACCCAGGGATCGAGCTTTGATTGAGCCAAATCAGTCATAGTGAGAGTAACCCCATTCATCTCCTCTGGGGACTGGCATGTGGGCATGTGACATAGATCTGGCCAATGAGATATAAGGAGAACAAGGCCAAGGGACTTCTGGGAAATTTTGCCCTCTAGAGAAGGTCTTTCCCCTTCTCCCTCTTCCCTTATTTTTGACACTGTCATATGAGAATACACAGCTCAGGATTGCCACAGCAGTCTTGTGACCATGAGGGAAGGCATGTGCGACACCCCTTGATCCCTGAGCTACTGAACAAACCTGAAGCAGCCCACCTCCAGATTTATTGTTAAACCAAACAATATGTGCCCCTGGTGTTTAATGGTATTTTGATGCAGCCCAGGGTTCTGATAGATACAGGCATGCATGCTCACCTAGTAATATCTCATGGGTGAGTTGGACAGCAACAACAGAAAGATAGTTTCTGATGGTCTTAGTGGGTCTTTTTTAACTTATGGGAGGTACTTCAGCCGTGGTTTAGGATGAATCAATTCAGAGCCAGTCCTACTGACTCACACCCTAACAACTAGAACCCCCTGCCCACCAATGCAATTTGTAGTTAGAGACTCTTTGTAATCAGTTGGTAACTAAATGAACCCTCATTCATTAACATCCCTGCTAACAACTTGACTGGTCTGTAGAGGACATGGCCTGGGGTGGTGGATGTGGTGAGAATGATATGCTGAAAAAAAAATAATACATGAGGTACACAGGTGACAACTGAGCCCCAGTAAATGGAGGATTTTTCTATAACTTTCAACTGATATATGGTAAGACAATTCCATAGTCTTGTGTTTATCCGGTTTTATAAAGTCAGTTAGTTTTCATTGCATTGTAAATTTGCACCAAGTTACATTTTAATGTATTTGTACCTTTAAATTTATATGCAAAGATTTCATGAGCTATCAATTTGATGAACTCTTCACAGAGATTGCATGATAAATATAATTAAAGCACCCAGATTCCATATCGATGAAAGCAGAAAGTGTGCTGAAGTGAGTATTAGAATTCTAAATTGGTAACTTTTATCCCATACCAGAAGCAATTTTTTCCCCTATGAACCACATATCTGTTATAGTCATAAAAATCATCAGGGGCCAGGGGACTGTAAACATTAAAGAAGTATTCATGTAGAGCCAGCAGGGAGATTCCACATGGCAGACTCTGTAGTTCAAGTCCCAGACCTGGCAGCTTGAAAAACATACCAGGCATGTGTGTGTGCATGCATGTCCAAAATCTCAAGGGGAGAATGGAGGAGAAGGGATTGTAGCATGGCCATCTTCTTTGGGGTGGTGATGGCAAGGAATTTCTCACTTTCCCCGTCTGCATCTCTGCTGAGTGCACATGCCATACAGTAAAGATGTTTTCAATAAAAGGAAGAAGTATTCGTTTAACCTGTATCTTTTGAAAAATACCACTAGTAAATGAATCAAGATGAGCTAAAGATATTAGATATGATGTATGTGTGATGTAAACTACAATGTAAACTGTAAAATACACTGGTAGAGGCTACAGGTGAAAAGCGTCATTATTTTGTTGTATTTTTGCATCCAAGCATGTAGATTATATCATTACAATCTACTGCCTATATAATCCTCACCTTAACTCAAAATCCAGAAATTCAACCGGTATTTTCAGGTGAATGTAGATTCTTAAGTTCCTCCTGATCCTGGGTATATGCTGGGAAAACTGAGAGGAGAAAATAAAAAGCCTATCTTAACAGCTCCAGCAGTCTAGGAAATACCTCTCAGTGTTGTGGACAGGAAGCCTCAGCCTGACAAATTATATTTATCCATGAACAGTGGCAGGACGGCATGCAGGATGTGGGCATCAAGAGCATCAGTTCGTCTTTCGGGGGCTGGCAGGTGGCAAGGTGGTTAAAACGTTGGATTCTCACATGGCTAACTGTGGTTCAAGTCCTGGACCTGGTGGCATGTTTTCCTACTTTCCCTTTCTTTCTGTCGCTGTCTCTCTCTGGTCAAATTAAAAAATAATAATAACAAATTAAATAAATAAATATTTTTTTTAAAAAAAGGGCACCAGGTCCTAACTGTCATTGTGGGCAGGTCACTTAACCTCATCGAAACTCAGTTTTCTCCACTCTCAAATCAGGATAATAGTTTCTCAACTATTTCTCAGGCTTATTTTAAACACTGGATGGAAAAGTAGAAATGAAATGTTTCAGGAGCCAAATGTAACTGGGCATACAGGGAAGGTCTGGGTTCACGTTCTAAGGTCTCTCTGTACATGCCTGGGGGTATGTGAGCCTATGCATGCCCATCCTTGAGGCTAGGAGTGGGTCATAGCATGGAGACACTCTTGCAGGTGCCTACCTCTCTCTGTTATAGAAGATGTAAATGGGTAAATTTTTTGAAAATGTTTTGAGCTGGCCCTGCAGCCTAGTGGTTAAGAGACCCGGATCCCACATGGCCAACCATGGTTTGAATCCTGGCCCCAGTAACTTAAAAAACACTCCACATGTGCATGCAGCCCAAAGTCCTGAAGGGATGGAGAAAAAGAGATTGTAATATGACTGTGTCCCATTGGGAGGTGCTTTATCTCTCCTCCCTCTCTCTCTCTCTCTGGCAAGCACATATGCCCTCTGCCAATTCAAAGATTGTTCCAAATAAACTTGATTGGGAACTATAAAGTATTTTATAAATGTTGGATATTTAGAATTAATATTTTATCTCCCTTTTTAATGTAGGGGTTATGAAACATGTCAACAATTTTATGTATCTAAAATAATTCCATTATGAAGCTCAACTATGTTAAATTCTAAATGCAAACTAGCCATCAGATCACCATGGAGAAACATCCAGATCAGTTTACTTGCCATTGCTGTAATAACATAAATAATTTCTCAGATAAGGTCCTTCAGTGAGATAAACTGTACATTATTGCTTCAAATAACCGCTTCCTATAATTCTGCCCTTGGCATTCTTTTCAGTCATCCTAACTTACCTGGCATACATTTCCTGGCTGCTTGGGCTGGCCTGCTTCAGGTTCTAACCGTGGGCTTATGAGGTTGTTTTAGAGCAAGCTCCTAAGGTGCAAGACCGTAGCTGGTAATAGGCTCTGCAACAGGTTTGTAAGCTGACATCTTACTGGGTCATCGGAAAAGTCATGCTGTGTTTCTCGATGCAAAAATGCATTGTGACTTTTCTGATGACTCATTGTATCAGTTCCAAGTGAAGATGAGACAATCTCCATGGGGCAAGTTACAAAGGAACATACAGACCCCCGGCGCAATTCTGGACCCCTCTCCCAGACTGAGGCTCACAATAAGGGGCCAGAAAGTAGAGGGAGAGAATGAGGAAATTTCTTTGGAGAAAGAAGCATGAGAAGAAACCTCCTTTATCTCAACCCAGTGAGAAGAGCTTCCCAGGGGAAGGGCTGCCGAGACTGCAGTCAGGTGGCCAGAGAACGGAGATTGCCTCACTCCTTGGAGAGCTAACTACCATCCTCCAGGGAGCTACACTGGGATAGGCCCATGCTCCCTGAGTCAGTAGGGCAGCAGATGTGTGGGGTTTCCCTTGGGACCCATGTAAAGGGGTGGTGGAAGCTGGAATGAACCTTGGACTTCTAGAGATAGGAAATGAATCACAAGCACCCAGCAGAATAGCACTGAATCTACTTTTGTCAAGAGTCCCTAGGAGAGAGGTCCCTCCCACAGGGGGAAACTCTAAAGGACCCAGGAAAGACCCACTCGAGTCTTAAATTGTAACCATAGGTCAGCATAGTCAGCTAGAAGGGATGATGGCTTGTTTGGATCCTGTCAAAGATGCTTTCTCTCTATTTCTCTTATGTGTGTACACACGCTATCATTAAAAAAAAAAAAAAAGTAGAAGTCATTCAACTTCAGGACAAGTGTTCCAACTCCTTGCCTCTTTTTTTTTGCTCTTCATTGTCCACTTTGACCCAAGCTGCGTCTTCCCCCCCACCCCTGAGATGTTTTTGCTAAAGGGTATGTGCACGTACCAAGAAAGAGAAAGAGAGACAGAAAGTGAGAAATCACCCCCCAGGGGGGATGGCCACACCGCAATCCCATCTCCTCCATTTTCCTCTTGGGATCTTGGGCATGCACGCACACGTGCCCAGCGTGAGTTGAAGCCACCGGCTCCAGGACTCGAACCACAGTCAACTACATGGGAGTCCAGCAACGCAGTCATTACGGCATCTGCTGGTCCCCAAAGCTGGGTCTTAAACAGCCTCTAGGTAATAGGGAAGTGTGACCTTAAGCCAACTGCATTCCTCTGGGAAGACAAACTACAGGTGTTAAGCCTGAGGTAGGGATAGGGGGAAAAGACCTACTTTTAAGTAAAGTCCAATGCATTTATTTTTATTTTGCACTCAATATTACAATTTCAAAACAAAACGCTGGTTGAGACTTAGCTACCACAGACTATTGGTTACCTAAAAGTGAGCAGGAAATTCAAGGGCTCCACCCAGTTTTCTATCTGGGGAGAGGAGAAACTAACTAACACTGAATACAGTGGGAAATGGCAGCAAGGGGGCCCAGCTGCTGTAGCCCTGCTGGACACTGCTGCTTGGCATGCCAAGGGCTACCAAGGAGGTCCAGGTTCCATTCCTGGCCCACCCTAAAACGCCAGGCATGCACCTGTGGTCCCAGCTACTGCTGAGGCAGGAGGACTGCAACACAGCAGGGCCGTATTTAAAACACTAACCCCCCATACACACACATATGCACACATGGCAGTGACACCAAAATAAAGTCAGATTTTATCCCATCTCACAGGTCGTGATTTCAAAAGACTAGTTATGGTTTTATTTGAAGCAGGTAAAGGTCTCTGCACAATGGAGGCCAGTGGCTATAAATGGGACTTACTGATATAATAATTCATGTCGAGTCCTTTGAAAATACAAATATTTCATTTTAGGTCCTAAAAAATTACCAAATCAACTAATGAGTGTTTATTATCTGCTGTGAAATCCTGATGGTGCTTTGAAGGATACTTCCTTTAGTTCAGATGACTACTATTTCCAACCTAGCACAATGCCTTACACAGAGTACATGCTCAAAAATATTTTCAACTTAATTATTCTTTACAAGATACTTAGCACCAAGGGACGTGGCATTTTTCCAATGTTGACAACAACACTTCAGCTGAAAAATCCTCATATTTGTAACACGTGGTACAAACCTGAACGGAGAGTGATTATGGTCTCAGTTGTATTTAACACTGTAAAGTGTTGCTGAACAGTCTAATAGAGAACAGAATTTAAACTAGAAACATATAAATGGGGTTCTTTTGCCGTTCAACTATGATAACTTAGTATGAACAAAAAATGATGGGTTGCGGACGTGGCTTGAATCTCGCTCTACCCCTCCCTCGTTCTGCTCCTGTGAATGGGGGCCCAGACTGGCTACCTCAGAGACAGAGGGGGGAGCGCTCTGAGAGATTAAGATCCCTGAATATCCTTTGTAAACTCTGAAGTGTGGAACAAGTGCAAGGCCTTAATACTAGCAAGCAGTTGATCAAACGTTGATTGCCACGTGCATAGCACGATAGTCTATTTTCTTGTTCAGCCTGAGACCTAGCTAAGTACTTCTATTGTATTTTTCTGCACCTTCTATAAGAGACCACGGAGAGGTTAAGCAACTGGTTCCAGATTGCAAAGCTTCAATCGGTCTGAACCAATAACCCTGACTTTGACTCCCGAGCTTTAAGCTGCAGTCCTGCCTAGTTAGTAGCGCACCTGAGATTTCGCAGGTGCTCAACAAACGCGAATCGGTCCAATTGCCCATTTAGAAGGGACAGGCTCCCCACCAGGCCTCTCCTACGCGGAGCTCCAGCCCCTTCCCTCTCTTTACTGCGTCCTCGCAAGCCCCGCCCCCGCCCTCGCAGGCTCCGCCCAGATCCCCTACCCCCACCACATATCGACACTTCTACGCATGCGTGATTGGGACTGGCGCTGGCCCAGCGGCCGGGAGGCGTCCGGAGACCGCTCGGCCCCTCCCCGCCCCGCCCCGCCCTCTTCGTCGCCGTCGCTGCTGCCGCCACTGCCTCGGGAAAGCGGGAGGATGAGCTGAACTACCGTAGCGCTTACTGTCTCCATCGCGCATCGCAGGTGCTTTGGGTCAGGCCAGAAGCCCTCTTCTTTGCGCCCACTTCCAACTTATTCTGCCGCTGCCCGCCGTGTAGCGGTCTGCCTGTGCAGGCTGGCGGCCCGGCCGCGGCAGGAGGTAGTTTGTGTACAGTTACCATGGAGACGCCGGCCAGCCTGCGGGAGCTGGAGGGAGGGAGGGCGGGTTGGGTGAGAATGCTGCTGGACTCGCCGTGGCCTGGACGAACCGGTATTGCATTGCCAAGAGCCGGGGACCCGCTGTCGGTGCGGGAGGTGAGGCTCTCCCCGCCGGTTCACCGGGGACCCTTCCTGTAGCCTCCACCTTTGTCCTTGGATGGCAGAGAGGGGCGACGAGAGTGGCTTGTGCACGCCGTCCGGGGTCTGCGCGGCCGTCTTGAGTTCTGTACACTGAGCCCAATGCGTGGTGCTTAGTAGGAGGTCCGTCGTATTTGTTGAATGAGAGAGTGGTAGACTAAAGGACTTTGTAGAACCGGCCAAGGTCAGCTTGTACCTGCGCTCTTCTAGACAACAGTTTTCTTCGATAAAGAAATGTGTAACAATAATGTATGTTGAAATACTTTGTGTGGACACTTGATGTTTTTTATGGTCCATTCCCATGATGATCACAGCAGGTCTTACATCCTGCCCTGATGTAGAATTATTTTTACTTGATAGAAAAGCATCAGCATTTTCATTTGAAACCTAGTTTGTGAATCTAAAAGATTCTAGTTAGTCGTTGATGGGGATTTGGCCCAGCTGATAGGCAATTAAATGATTAATTAAAGTTTTCTGGTGTCATAAATTTAAATTTGAAAACTTGTGAAATGTGTGAAAACATGGAACACACGTCATTTTCTCTTCTGCAATTTGTTTTTTAAAATGCAGTTTTTTATTCAGAAATTTTTTTAACCGTATCTCTTTTTAAAATTTTTTATTATAATTTTTTTGGAGATGTTTTTGCTATAGGGCCCGTGTGCTCGCCAGAAAGACAGAGATATAGAAAGTGAGAAATCACCCCCTTCCAGGGGAGATGGCCATGCTGCAATCCCTTTTCCTCCATTCTCCTCTCAGGATCTTGGGCATTCACGCACATGTGCCCCACATGAGTTTAATCCACTGGGTCCAGGACTCAAACCGCGGTTAAATACATGCAAGTCCAGCGACATAGCCATTAAGCCAACTGCTGGTCCCTTAACTGTATCTCTTTATAACACAGTGTTTGGGCAGTAATCGTAAATATTTTTTAAGGGCCACTCACCATATCAAAAGCACTTTACATGGATTATTATTTTATTTAATTCTTCAAACAATCCTATCATTACCATAATTATTATTACTATCCATGTTTTACAGATGAGGAAATTGAGGCTTAGAGATGTTAGCCAGCTTGCCTAAGGTCCCACAGTGGTGAACTGTCAGGATTCAAACCCTTACTCCAGCACCTAAGAATTTAGCCATGCCTCTGTTGGTGGTCGTATGATCATAAAAGTAATTTCAGAATTGTGGAAAGGGTCCTGAGTATTTGACTTTCAGGGAACAGAGTGTAGAGACAGCCAGCCTGTTCCCTGTGCTGACATTCTTATAGTGTCATGCTGCATTACCCGAAGGCTCTGGCTATTAAGCAGCAAAGATAAAGACAGGTGTTTTTAAAGATTAGATATAAACGTCCATAAGTTGTAACTCTGACATTTCCCCCAAACAAATGACATATTTTATTTAAAAAAGTCCCCCAAACCAATAGAAATATCTTGTTTTTAAAAGGTTCGGTGTCTGGTCAGCAGGTGATGTGGTTAAGGCCCTGGACTCCCTCATGGCTGACCACAGTTCAAATCCTAGACCTGGAGGCCTGAAATGATGCCAGGCACTGGTGCCCAAATCCCAGGAGGAGAAGGATTGCAGCCTGGCCATCCAGCCTGGGGAGTGATTTCTCACTTTCCCTCTCACTGCTTCTCTATGTTTCTCTCTGGTGGGCAAATGTGCCCTGTGGTAAAAAAAACTAAAAAAAAACTAAAAAAAAAAAAAAAAAGGAAAATGACATTGGGGGCATGTGCATGGATGTGCAAAATCTTAAGATGAAACTGGAGGAGACGGGATTATGATGCAGCCATTCCCCCCTAGAGGAGCGATTTCTCACTTTCCTTTTTCCTCTCTCCCTACATCTTTTTGTAGCAAGCATATGCGTCCTACAAAAATTAAAAACGATAGAAAAGTTCAGTGAACCATTTCCTGCTGCTGATGGTCTTCATCTTACAGTGGTCCTGTGCACGCCGCAGACTCAGGACAGTGTAATGTAAGGCAGAACTCAGCCTCTTCCTTCCCTTTGAAGTCTGTTTTTCCTCCTGTTTCTTTTAAAGCGTCCCTTGCCCAGTGTTGCCACTGGCTTCTCGTGCTCTCAGATGCCAGTCCTGTTCGGTTTTTCTGTTCCCAGCGCGTTTCACTTGTTCTCATCTCCCCCTACCTCTGTATTCACTTCTGCGTATCAGGCTTCCCATGCTCCACTCTGGTCACAGCTTCCGAGTCCTATTCCACGCCAGCCATCCCGAAGGCAGGAGGAAAGAGGGCTAACTTTGAACTTACGTTACCTCATGGCATCAAGAATCAGATGCAATTTGAAATACACTCCAATATACGTCCATAATTCACTATCCCTAACATCTCCAATGGAAGAAGCAGTGTAGCCTTTGTCTAGAAGTCTTAGTTCCAGTCTTAGTTTGAAAATGTCCTTCTGTGATCCCTCACGTGGAGGGTGGGAGCTCTGAGGCTGGTGGGGTGACTCCAGATAGAGGCACGGGCAGTTCTATCAGTAGGAGGGCATAGTGACAAAGGCTACCGAGGACTTGTGGAGCCTTAATTCTGGCTAGGAGGGTGGCAGAGGCAGGAAGCTTTCCTGAGACAGTGACCTCTAAGAGTCAGCTGGTGATTCTGTAAGAACTCTCTGACTTCATCACTTTCCCCTCCTTCCCTTCCTGTCCTTTTGGAGTAGGCCACATCATCCCTCAGAATCTGTCATCTATTCATCAAAATGTTCCTGATACTCTACCTTGGCTCACTTACTGACTGTTGGCACTTTATTCTCAGCTCCAGTCCTCACGTAGTCATTGTCACTTGTTCAAATTTAGCTCATATGTCAGAACCTGGCTCAAGCATCACCTCCTCCAGGAAGGCTACCTGATGTCCTCTCCTAAACAAAAATATTTTCTCCTTTTCAATCACACGGTAATTTATCTCTATTTTTTTTTTCCCTTGACACCATCAGTTTCTTCCTTGTATTAAAATCACTTGGGAATAAGCAGAGCCAATACGCAGCTGGTACACAGCAAGAGGGCTGCTCCTGTTATGGAAATATTGGTGTGCCTCTGTATTCACAGTTAAATGGTTGCAGCCCCAAGGGCACTGAATACCCCATCTCCCTGTCTCCTCTCCCTTCATAGGTAATAGTTTGAATATCATCTCTGGATGTAGGTCATAACTTTTTTATTTGTTTTTGCTTGGGACTTTACCTCATAAAATTGTTGTCAGGACTAATTAAGATGAAGTACTAAAGAGTATATAGTACAGTGCTTGGGATTAAAGTGTTTAGCTAGCACCAGCGGCCTGTCTTGCCTGAGAATGGAGTCAGTATTTCACTTCTCTCTGTGCTCCAAGAGATGGAAGCAGAGGGCTTCGCACATAGGAAACAGTTAATCAATACTACAATAGCTGAATGGATCTGTTTCAGTTGCCAGGAAAGTTTCGCAAAGTTAAACTGTTTGTGGTCCCATTACATCGTTGTTCAGGTATGCTCCACTACAAGAAGACAGGCTTTCAAACGCTAAGTGAATCTTTTGCAAGTTGGCAAAAACCAATCTCTAATAATTTGTGATTTAACCAGTATAAAGAAAAAACCCTGTCCCCAAACCCACTTCTAACTCACTTAATTTATTTCATTAAGCATTCCCATGTTTGATTTCTTTGATAATATATTAATAATAATATAATCATGATAGATTAGCTGTGGAAATTTTACATTATTGTACCAGTTTCCCATAATATAATTGTTAAAGTGAGATTTATGAGGAAAGAGAAAGGGAGAGAACTAGAGAAAACTGAATTAGAATTTGTGGTTAAAATTTACAAAGACATTCTCAAGACCATTATCTACTTTGTGTCTGCCATTGGTCAGACTAAATTCTTATATGCCCAAATAATTTACACAATTCTTAGAATTTGGCCAAAATAAATATT